ATGGAAGTGGATGAGGAGGTTTGGCTCAGTCCGGTGACAATGTGTGCACCAGGCAGCAAGGAATTGTTTTCAAGTTGCTAGGTTTATGAAGACTCTCAGCAAATTGATATAGAACATAAAATAAGTGAAGACACGCAAGGTCATGAAGATATGCATGGTAAACTTCTGTGCAGGCAGGGGAAGAGGGGAGTAATGCAGGCAGTGACCATGCAGGACATTAAGTTGCTCTAGTTCAGTGTACTTTATCAGGAAAAGTACAGTCACTCTGTTGTTAATGGTTACTTTTCCAGAGCAGACCTTGAGAAGTCAGGCATGTTCCCAATCAGACAGACTCTGTCAACTAAGGAAAAAATCTTGGAGGACAATGGAAGATCTGGTCAAGGATGTGTTCCAGCATTCAGTGCTTCAAACTAAGAAAAGGCAGCAAAGAAGAGCTAGGGAGATGCAAGTCATAACTGAAATCACTGAGTGCATGCTAAAGCTCATGGAAGACCAACATGAGATGTGTGGAATGTGTTATCAAGATGCAGAACAAACAAAACCAAAGGCCTCTCTGTCAGCACATGCAGGATTCTTTTCACAGAAACTATCCCTCTGCACCCACACATCAGCCTCCATAACTGCACATGCAAATTCATTGTCCAGCAATCCTCTGTTTATGACCACACACTAATTTTCACAATCAGGTAATGTTTTTTTCCCAGCACACTCCACTCCCCAGCAAAACTGCTGAGACTTTCATAGCTGGAAGTTAATACCATTGTGAGGTTTTCCAAAAATTCTTATCATCCCTTACCACCGAGCATCCTGATTGAAAGACGCCAATAAAGACTGTTGTGATGTATTGTTCCATGAGCTTTTGTGTGACACAACCCACACCAATTGCTCTGGCCCTTGTGGAAGCCTGTAATATCACTTGGTTTCATGAGAATGCCTCACTGAAGGATGAGCAATAGGATGAGATAGGGAAGCAACCCCAACACACAGAAATGTTAGCATCCTTCATTGTCAAAGTGGTTCCTCAGAGCCTCTCTGATATTGATGGCCACCCTAAGGGCTCCTCTAGCAGCTTGAGTGTCAGGCAAACATGGGCAAACACTTCACCCTTATTCTCACACAAATTATGGAAGCTTGTGGCCACCACGTTGGGAATATATTCCTCCAAAAGGTCCAGCCTGCCACAGGGACATCTCCATCTCTCGTTCAGTTTGTCAAAGGCACATTCAGCAACTATTCACATCCATGAAGCTTCGGCTTAGTCTATTGTTGAACCACTCCTTACTGCTGTCCAAGTGCCCCGTGTAAGGCTTCATGAGCCAGAGCTGAAGGAGGTAAGTGGGATCACTGAGCATTTCCACATCCCCCACTGAAATTTTCTGATCTAGAAAGAAAGTGCCTGCCTGCAGGTATCATACATTATAACATAGAATCATAGAATACTAGACTGGAAGGGACCCTGAGAGATCATCAAGTCCAGTCCCTTGCCCTCACAGGAGGACCAAGCACCATTTAGATCATCTCTGATAGATGTCTGTCTAACCTGCTCTTAAATATCTCCAGAGATGGAAATTTCACAACCTCCCAGGCAATTTAGTCCTATGTTTAACTACCCTAACATCTAGGAAATTGTACTTAATGTCCAACCTAAACCTCCCTTGCTGCAGGTTAAGCCCATTGCTTCTTGTCTTATCAGAGGCCAAAGAGAAAAAAATGTTCTCCCTCCTCCTTGTAACACCCTTTTAAATACTAGAAAACTGATATGTTCCCTCACTGATATGTTCTCTCTGTCTTTTCTTTTTTAAACCAAACAAGCCCAGTTCTTTCAGTCTTCCCCCATAGGTCTTTCTAGACCTTTAATAATTTTTGTTCCTCTTCTCTGGGCCTTCTCCAATTTTTCCACATCTTTCTTGAAACATGGTGCCCAGAACCAGACAGAGTACTTGGAGGCCTAATCAGTGCAGAGTAGAGCGGAAGAATTACTTCTTGTGTCTTGCTCACAACACTCCTGTTAATGCACCCCAGAATCATGTTTGCTTTTTTTTCAACAGTGTCACACTGTTGACTCATATTTAGTTTGTGGTCCCATTCTGTATGTGTGAAACTGATTGTTCCTACCTAAGTGGAGTATTTTGCATTTGTCCTTATTAAACTTCATCCTGTTTACCTCAGACCATTTCCCTAGTTTGTCCAGATGATTTGAATTATGATGATTTGAATTGCAACCTTGCTATGTCTGTTGAAGCAATAGACGAACACCGTGTTAAGGTAGTTAAGAAGAGGTTATGGATCAAACAATGAATTTGTCTTCTATCTGCACTTTCGGTCACTATTAAGTTCCACTGAGGACAAATGCTCAGTTTAAAGAAGGCTGCTGGGAATTACAGGAAACCCCGAAGTTACGACGGCCCGAGTTGCGACCCCCCTACTCTTATGACCATTTTTGTAAGTGTAGAAGGAGCCGAAACCCCCCGACTTACATCCTTGGCCCGCATTTACAATGGCACACAGTGCCTATCGTAAATGCGGGTTCGAGTTACAACGCCCCTGCCTTGCAATGCGCAAGTCGGGGGCCACTTGATACTATTCATTTAGCAAGCATTTACTTATTTTGAAATGAGGAAACCAAATGCTTCATAGATGTATAGGGTCATATGTTCTCTATTCATGGCAGAAGTGTGGAGGGAATTATACAAATAGTAGGAATCTGTGCAAGAAAGCAATATCAGAAACAATAGTACGTAGTGTTCTGGGTTGCACAGCATAAACTGTATGGTGAATCTATCAATGAGAATGGTTAGTCAAACATGCCTACACACCCAAAAGAAGCAGATAGAAAGGCTATGTACCAGAATATAAATGCAGCTCTGTTTATTCATGTTCACAGGTTTATTCACATGTTTATTCACAGATTGTGATGCTCAGAATCTACAGCATAATCCTTAGTAATACTAGTATTGGTCTGACCTAATCACATTTGGGGCTACAGAGTGAGCTGACATAAGAATGGAACCTAGAGCTTTTTCACAAAGAGTTAATTTGTGCACATTTCATCTTCTGCTCTTTTTTGTGTGTGGGTGAGGCGGGGGGATTGTTTTATTATTGGCTTAGTAACTTAATTTACTGTACTCTGGGCTTCCTCCCTTCTCTCCAGTAACTGCCTCACTAGTTTTGTTTATTATCCTGAACATATGCTCACAGTCATGTACTGCCATTTATGATGCTGTGTTTGCTAGGGTACCACGCCCCAGGAGAATTTGCTGTATATTTACACTAGCACCTGGGAAATGGATGCTTGTCTCTTGTAGGGATGTGAGTAGTCGAATGGAGTTTCGATGATTCACTTCTCCCCTTTCACCCCCCACGCTGCGTCTGTATGAGAGGCAGCAAGGGGGGCAGGGTAAGAGCAGGTGCTGGGGGGAGCTGGCTTAAAAACTGGTTCCCCCAGCACAGTCTCCATGGTGCTGCCTGCTCCTCACCCCCGCCACAACCTCTATCAGAGGCAGCAGGGGCATAGGGGAGTCTGCTCCGGCAGCAGCCCCTGTTCATGGCAGCCCTGGCTCCATACTGTAAATTTCCTTGAGCAAGGAAGGGCAGTGTGGATGCTCTGCGGGCTCTTGTGCAAGAATGGCTGTACTTGTGCAAGAAGCCATGAGTGTAGACATAGCCTTAGAAGAAACACTTTCCCCAGCCTCTATGCCCCTGAGTTAATGTCACACACATTGGGTTAATGCAATTGCAGGATAGTTGCCTGAGGGAGGTTTAGTGGGGGCCAAACTAATCCCTGTTGGTAGGAGGATGGTGGGAAAAGTCCTTCGAGAGGGGTGACATGACACCTTTTACTTCTGGTCATGTGTCCATCTTGCCCCAAGCGTGTTACCTCCAGAGGCCTGGCTAACAGGGGTCAGGGAGCTTGGCTAACGGAGGTTCAGGGGGTATGGCTAACGGAGGGGTCAGGGGTGTGGCAAACGGGTCAGGGGCATGGTTAACAGCAGTCGGGGGTGTGGCTAATGGGGCACCACCAAAAATTATACAAACCTGACGCCCATGTGAGGCTGCACCTCCTTTTCCCCACAGTATTATAGTACATAAGTGGGGTTGGAGGTTACAGAAATTTTTTGTAGGAACTCTTCATTTCTTCATACAAGCAACTTTGACAGCAACCAGCTTCCCCACTGCTTCCACGTCAGTGTCTTAATTATTGCATTTAATTTCTTCTCCCTCTGAGTTCTCTCTTTCATATTTATTTGCAACGGATTCCTACTATCCGTTTATTTCTACTATTTCTGTAACTTTTTGTATAACTTGGATACAACACAGAATACTTTGTGTCAGCTAATCCAGTATTTCAAGGGCTGAGTTGCTTGTGCCAGTTCCTCAAAATTCTGATGTTTCCCACTACAAAAGTAATGCCGCATCTACCAACATTCTGGGGTTTCACTGCACTCCAGCATCCTCAGTATCAGTAGTCAGGAAGCTGTGACAACTGCTGGAAAGGATTCTAGGACACAATTGAGTCTCCAAGGTGTAGATACATATGAGGCTGTGAGGGGAAAACACACACGCAGCATTTGGAGTACTACAGAAGTAGTTAATGAAGGCAGAAGGTAGAGGCAAAAGTAGCAGTCTTGTTTAAAATGGGGGAAGGTGGTTAGAGGAAGCATGTGACGGGTACCTGCTTAATGACTGTCACACATCTCAGTTTCTTGAGATATGATCATATGATTCTGGCCATGTATACCCAAGTAATAATTAATCATTCATTTAGCACAATACATTTGGAACAATTGACTAGCTCACCATAGCATCGAATGCTAATTATTGTCACATGACCTTCGCGTAAATATTCAGGCATTTGGGTTAGGGCTAACAGTGGAAGATTGATTAGATATATTCCTGTTTATTACACACTGTGTATTTTTATATATGTATGCTGAGAACACTTTTTTTCAAACTGTAGAATATATTTGTTCTAAACTGGGTTTCCCTTTTTGGTTCAATAGTACCAGGATACGAATATGCAAGGGGTGGTATATGAACTGAACAGCTATATAGAACAACGGTTGGATACAGGTGGAGACAACCAACTACTTTTATATGAACTGAGCAGCATTATTAAAATAGGTAAGAAAAAGGATTTGATACCCTTTATTTGAAGCCTCGTCATGGAATTCTGTGCATTACTTGTGCTATTTAATAAATACAAATAATTATTACAGAATAGCTATACGTGGTAGGTACACCATCCTGCAATTGCATCCACACCAAGTAGCCCTTGCTCCATTGATGGTCTACCCAGCTGTGAGTCCAGTTGCAGGATGAGTCCCAACTGCAAAGTAAACCACTTGATAGATTATTCTGGCTTTGGTATTGCCTGCCAGATTGATTTGGAAAGTCATAAAATAAGTTGCCAGTAATATTATTGCAAATCTTGACTGCTTCTTTAACAGAAGTGAGGTGATTTGGATGTATCTTTTTGTCCATGATAACATATAACTCTATAGAGTAACAGCATTTTTTATTTGATATAAGTGTTTCTTTATGAAAAAGAATATTGACCAAGAATAAAAATGAAATGTATTTCCTGTAAAATGTAAAGCTTCCATCATTCCCCCTTTCCTTCTCCAAATTTTAACTGGTTTGAATACAAACAGATTTAACATTGAAACATCTGACTAGGCATACATGGTAGCAGCAGCATCCCCTGCATCCCTGCTGCTCTGGTACTTTGTAACATGAAGCTGGTTTTTCTACTTGTATTTCACGTGTATTTTGTTTCAAATGGACTGTATTTGTTAACTGTCACTTGAATGGATTGATAAGTTCTGATTCAACTCTGAGCTGTTCAGTACTGGTTTATGTTAGAGAGCAAATGAGAAGCTGGAGGAGAGACAGAAAACAGCACATCCTTCCATAGTCATAGTAGACTAGAGAATAGGTTTTCTTTCCTTAACTTACCTTAATTTTCTTTCCTGTAATGTCCAATAGACATATAGGACATTACAGGATCGCTACATCTAGACTGGCATGATTTTCTGCAAATGCTTTTAATGGAAAAGTTTTTCCGTTAAAAGCATTTGCGGAAAAGAGCGTCTAAATTGGCACGGACGCTTTTCCGCAAAAGCACTTTTTGCGGAAAAGCGTCCTTGCCAATCTAGACGCAGTTTTGCACAAGAAAGCCCCGATCGCCATTTTTGCCGATCTTGCCAGTCTAGACGCGGCCATAAAGTTTTCTCTAGGATTAACTTTGGAACTCAAATACAAATGAGCTTCTCACTTACTGATGCTGATATTATTTATGTCCATGTCAATAATTAAACAATCACACAATGAGTTTTTGATCTTGTCAAACACAAGGACTACGTCTACACTGGTCACAATTTCCGGAAAAGTCATGCAAATCAGGTAAGTCAGGATAGGGAAATCCGCGGGGGATTTAAATATCCCCCGCGAATTTAAATAAACATGTCCGCCGCTTTTTTTCCGGCTTGGGGAAAAGCTGGAAAAAAAGCGTCTAGACTGCGGCGGACATGTTTATTTAAATCCGCGGGGGATATTTAAATCCCCCGCGGATTTCCCTATCCTGACTTACCTGATTTGCGTGGCTTTTCCGGAAATTGTGGCCAGTGTAGACGTAGCCAAGTAGAATGTCAACTGACTTTACCTGCCCCCTTAATCATTTCCCTGAAATGCATTGCCTGGAGTGTTATACTTACTCATAAAAGTGAGGAAATCATTCAGACCCATGCTTAATTGGTTAACTGTTTAAACATAATGTTCACTGACTAGAGCACCCCTGCCCACAGAAGGCCCCATGAGACTGGAATAGCCCCAGATGCTCCAGTCCCCTACCCCAGTTAACATGACCTCGTAAACCTCACCTGTTAAGGCTGAATCTTAATGGTCAACTGGTTAACCATTTGCATCCCTACTGTGTATTTGTAGGAGCTAGCATTACTGACAGAGAAGTCCCCTTGTACTCAGCACTAAGTCTGTTATGTAATGCTGAGTACAAAAGCACAGGTTTGCTTTGTTCTTCTGTTTCTGAGAGTTGTTTTTTGTTTTAGCAATAAGATACCTCTGATGGTTTATTTCTAAGGGATTATTGCACTTTTTCTTGCTTAAACACTCAGCCTTTGGCCTTATGCCTCACAACACCACCTGAGTCTTGCAGTAATTGCCAGCAGATACTTACTCCCTGAAGTGTCTTAATGTATTTAGTATAGAACAGCTATGAAAAACATAGGCCTCCACATGTTGTAAAACTAGAAAAAAATCCTATCATACATACTTAGTGGCAGCATCTGAGGCTTATTCATTGTTTTGCCATGCTTCTGTGTCTTAAGGCAAGAAAAGAGATAGTTTATGCTCTGTACATGGGGGAAACAAATTTTCTTCTATTGATGGCAAATGTTCTATATTATGAGGGAATGGGTATTTTTACTTAATTTTTATGCTGTCATATGAATCCATGCAATATAATATTCAGTAGAAATAGAGTAAAGACTAGGTAAGTTTATCAGGCTGCAGCTTCAAATTATGTCTCAAATATATAAATATGAGGGAAAACAGTACTATCAGAGCCACTAATTTCACGGGGTTTCTGTATAGTTTCAGGGGACACAGGAATGGTGTTTCATCTTCAGAAGTTTAGCTGATTGTCCTAAGTGGAATGAGTATATGGTTTCACTTTGGAGAGCATGCAAAAGTTTGATTCTCCCTCTGAGTACAATTACTTCTTTATTATTACTTTGACAGCTACAAAAGCTGATGGATTTGCACTATATTTCCTGGGAGAATGCAATAATGTAAGTATTCTGGATTTGGATGCTGCTTTTCTGTATAGTTAACTAAAAGTGCATTTTCCACTTCCCCAATATACAGTACTATAAATCTTATTTTGTATGTCATTTGGAAGCAAGTGCTAGCTAAGTGCTGGATTTTAATCTTGCATTATTTTTGTTTGTGTAGATGCAGTGTTGATGAATTAAGTGAAAAATAAAGGTATTTTTTTGCAATGAGTGTCCAAAGGCCTTGGTTTTTAGTCAGTATTTTTTAGTTTTACAGATGATGTGCTATTCTTTCTTTAAAGTCTAGCAACTTCATTAATAGAAAGCAGCAGTTTTAAAACAAAAGGCAGTACTTCTTCACATGATGCACAGTCAACCTGTGGAACTCATTGTTTGGGAATTTTATGAAGGCCAGAAGTGTAACTGGGTCCAAACAAAGGTTGATGGAGGATAGTTCCATCAATGTCTATTAGCCAAGATGGTCACTGACGCAACTGCATCCTCTAGTTGTCCCTAATTGCTAAAAGCTGGGAATGGACAACAGGGGAATAGATAACTCAATAATTGCCCTGTTTCATTCATTCCCTCTGAAGCAGCTGGCCACTGTTGGAATACAGGATATACTGAACTAAGTGAATGTTGGTCTGATCCATCGTGGCCATTTTTATGTTCTTATGAAGCTGCATGACTATTCTTATACAGATTTCCCTTGGTCAAGTCCAAGTCTAGGCATTTATCCAGAGATGTTCTCATCTCTTGAAATTTAGGTCACTTGAATTTCAAACTATAGTTGATAGAGAAATTGATTTCTTCTAAATGTGACTTATTCTTTTTATTTTGCTAAATTTCTGATTTCTAAATTTAATCAATTTCTCTGTCAACTGTAGTTTGAATTGAAGTGACCTAAATTTCAAACTTAGGCTTTGATTAACATGAAGAAATAAATCACATGCATTTAAAATGAGTGAGACAAATTAATTTGTGATGTAAATTAATTGGCTACAACAGTTGTAATGGGAATGGGTTTAGTCCAGTGTTGTTAGTTGCATAATTACTATTTTGCTGTGGTATTTAGAATGCATTACATTAAGTAAAAAAATTTTTCTTGGCAATGCTATCCAGATACCATCACATAAGACTTGACAAAATTGCAGGCAGCGACAACATCAAGTTAAAAATCATACTTTTGTCTGAAAAAATGTATGTCTACTGTTGATATAAGAAATACCTCTGCTTCTTAAAAGTGCAACTGATTAGAGCGGCAAAACATTTTTTCTCCATTGTTTTAGTTGAATCTTATGCAATAGTCAACTATTTTTCTTTAATAAGAAAGCATGATTGTAAAGGTGCACAAACTCACAGGGGGCTGAAAGTACTTTTAACTCATTTGTTAAAAATAGACTAGTCGATGGTGTCCTATTCAAAGGTGTGAATTACACGTCCTACGGAAGCTCTTTCAAAGTAAGAAATTAATCTAAATTTTGGGTTCTAATTCACTCCTTTTAATAAAGATTTGGTCGAATAAATATAACCCATTTTACTGTTCAGAAATCAATCCTGTTCTGAGAGACTTTTATAACGTAGCAATTTTTGCAAAACACATAATTTTCCCATATGCTTCACCAAACATTACCCACCTACTGTGAATATAATCTTCATTTTTTTCTGCCCAATTCTGGCATTTAATCAGTGTTCCAGTTTGAGAGCAATGCAAATCTCCATTGAGCTCACAGGAAGGTTAGCCTTCACTTAGAACAGAGTATGTGGATGGCTGGCCAGCTGTGCTCGTGTCCGTGCTCTCTGAGAACTGCCCTACTTCCTCCACTTCCTCTTTGCAAAAACTATAGGGCTGTGTCTACACTGGCCCCTTCTTCGGAATAGCCATGCTAATTTAGAACTTTGGAATAGGGAAATCCGTGGGGGATTTAAATATCCCCTGTGGGATTTAAATAAACATGGCTGCCGCTTTTTTTCCGGCTTGGGGAAAAGCCGGAAAAAAGTGTCCAGACTGGAGCGATCTTCCGGAATAAAGCCCTATTCCGGAGGATCTCTTATTCCTACTTGCAAGTTTCCCCAAGCAGGAAAAAAAGCGGCGGCCATGTTTATTTAAATCCCGCGGGGGATATTTAAATCCCCCGCGGATTTCCCTATTCCAAAGTTCTAAATTAGCATGGCTATTCCGAAGAAGGGGCCAGTGTAGACACAGCCTGGTAGTATTAACCTTACAACTCAAGATATCAGATTTTGCCCATCTTCAGCATAGGATGTACAAGATAGAGAGGGATGCCTTATGACCTCTTGAGCACCCGACATGAGGCTATGGGCAATCTGACCTTTTCTCTTTTTATAGCTTTTTAGACCAACAAGATAATGCACTCCATTATAATTAACCCTACCATTGAAAAATACACATTGATTACATTGTGGCTATGTCTAGACTGCAAGCCTCTTTCGAAAGAGAGCGTCTAGACTGCACGCGGAACTTTCGAAAGAGCAAGGTGCTTTTTCGAAAGAAAGCTCCCAGTGAGTCTGGATGCTCTCTTTCGAAGAAGCCCTATTTACATTCAAGACCGCCTTCTTTCGAAAGAAGCACTTTCGAAAGAAGGCGTTCTTCCTCGTGAAATGAGGTTTACCGCCGTCGAAAGAAAAGCCGCGTTCTTTCGATTTAATTTCGAAAGAACGTGGCTGCAGTCTAGACGCAGGTGAAGTTTTTTCGGAAAAAGGCTACTTTTCCCGAAAAAAACCCTGAGTCTGGACACAGCCACAGAAACGTGATGATAATACCCCACAATGGAATGGCTTTCATTTGCTCATGTAGGGCTTGATCCAAATGCCATCAAAACCAGTGTGAGATTTTTCTGTTCACTTCAATGGCTTTAGATTAGGTCCATAGTGTACTTCTGTCACTTCATAATAATTCAGTAGACTTCTTTTGTAAGACATTGTAACTAACAATTAATTTGGAGATCCTTGTTTCCTGTGTACCAGACTTATAATATTTTTGTCCTACCCTACCCCTAAGCATTGAGGTTTTTAGAGAGTTACATTTTCAAAGGCACAAATGGTAGTGAGGTGTCTAACAACCATTGACTTTCAGTGGAGGGTAGGTATCTCTCATTGCCATTTGTGTGTTTGAAAATATCCCCTTTGGCGGTTTGGTTTAGTTATTTCTGTTGCACAGTTAAAACTTCTAGTATTATGCTGTGCTCTTCTGTGTAGCATATATAAATGCAAAATGATGCAAGTTCCTTAATTTAGATGAGTGAAGCACACACAAATATTTGCACCTACACATTCAAAAGTGGCCTCTAATTTTTGATTGTTCATCTCAACAGTCAAGGATGACTACTTTAGTAGTAAACCAATCTTTGTTTGAGCCTCATAACACTCTGGTTTTTGAAGCTGTAATTGAGAATTTTTGACTGTTGACTGCACTATGTGTGTGAGCTTGCATGTATGTCTGTTTCTGGGCAGTGGAGGGTTGGTGCTTTATAAAAACCTAGGAATTCTGATACCCCGTGCTCCAATGTTGTTTTGCAACTGGTGGTACAACCCTCCAATAATGTGTGCTGTGATATCATCTAAGGCAGGGATGGGCAACCGCAAATAGTGGTTGGGCCATATGAGCGGTCCTTCTTCATCTCACTGTGCTGCAGCAGCCCTGTGTCTCACTAGGGTTCTACCTGCGGCCCTCCTGGCTAGCCCCTCTGCCCACATGCTTCTCGTACACTGGGGCACCGGAGCCTCTCACTTACCTGCTCCTCCCTCTCCATCCTAGCACTTTCAGAGTGCCCTAATTGCCTGATTCCCACTCTGCCCCTACTCCTCCCGCATCCTACCAGAGCTGGAACACCATGAACAGCTGATTTGCAGCTTTTCAGCTTTCCAGCTCTGGGCGCGAGGGGAAGAAGCAGAGACAGAGCATGAATCAGGTGATTCGGGGCACCTCCTAAAATGCTGGGAGGGTGGGGAAGGAGCAGATAAGTGTGGGGTTCTGATGCCCCAGTTCGTGAGGCATGTGGAGGATGGGGGGCAGCCAGGAGATCCACAGGGCACAGTTGGATCCCCAGTGGGCCACTTGTGGCCTGTGAGCTGTAGGGCCTGTAAGGATTTACAAAGTCAGGATCAAGGGAAAAGTGACGCTGACCATTCCCTTAAGCTGGGGATTCTGTTATTAATCCTTATTTGTACAGTTTATAGCTGCTATAAAGCTCACTGTGGGAATCATGACATGCAAAGTTGCTAGTCAGAGAGAAGCATTTTAGTATTAGATTTCCAATAACTACCTTTGCATAAATTCATATATTATATTGGCCAAACCACATAAGAAAATGTCCTTGTTTCAGATATATATTTGTATTTGGATATGGCAAAATGAATATGCTTTTTAAAAATATTAATGCATATTTATCTAACTGAAAAGAAAGCTCTGAATTAGTCTTGTCTGCCATATTCTGCTGCGTGCGCAATACAGATGTCACAATGGTTTCTAAATAGGCATCTCAGTAATGGAGAAAAGTTCTGTATAATTTAACAGAACAAGATGTATTCATGTAACTGTTTTAAGCATCATACAGAACTGAATAGGACATTATATCCCTGCTCTTGAATTTCATAAGATTGTTAAAAATGTATGTTAAATAGTTGAGTCCTAATTGTCCATGTGCACAATTCCATAAGTTTTCGGAGTAATTTCTGTATAACCTTGTTGGCTTTATCCATATTAAATTCTGCAGGACTTTTTCATTAAAGGTATGTTGGAGTTGTGTGGTGATGCAATGTACCCATGGCATTTTCTGACTGAGAAAAGAGTCAAGTAGATTGCTCCCAGGATCTCTGACATAGGATTTCTGAGGTGGTAGGTGCTACACCAGTTTAAAGTGTTCACTGTGCTTTTTCACACAAACCCTTGGCCTCTATCGAATGCCAAAGGGGATATGCGCATTGGGTTGTTCAGAACTGCTGGCAGTGCTAACACTCCTTTCACTATGTACTCAGGAAGTGCAAGCAGCAAAATT